TTTGCCTTCATCAGGTAATACCTCTGATGTGAGGTTGAGTTGGTGCAAGGTTTTTATGACCGTATGCCCTTACTGACGTCAACCAAACTTATTATGTGGGAAGTTGGCACCCAAGGCTGACAGGTACTACACCTTGCCCAAGGAACACCTGGAGGTAGTTGTGGCAAAGGGTAACCTCATTCTTCCAAGGACAAACAACCCATATATAGTACATTGCGTGATAATCGTCTCTCACATGTCTAGTAGCTACATCTCCGAATACAATACTGGATGTACAGTATTTATAGAAAACAAGTCTTTGAACTACTCATTATTGCGGAAATCTTTCAAATCATCGAAATAAATAAATAAATAAATCACTTGATACCGATAATTTGGGATTATAGTCGTATAGGATTAGATGTTACCAATAACGTATTTATAAACATTCGTCGCTAATGTGTTCTGTTTTAGACGATTCGGGATGCTGCTCATTTCTATACAAAATCATGATTTGTATAACAGAACACGTCTCGCGTCAAAACAGGTGATTTTCCGTTCACGGCCGAGATCTCGCACAATGCGCAGACGACGCGGATCGAATTTCTGCCGTAGTAAACGAAAAAATGATTTTGCGCTTGATTTTTTTTATAGTTAAATGTTGAAATGCCTATCTTTCAAAAAGGAATATCGCGTACAGACGAAATAACTTTTAAAAAAAATTTTCGAAGTGTATAGCACATTATTGACCGTGCAAATACCCAAATATTGTTTTGCGTTTGACGAATCCAACGCTATGTTTTGACTCTACATGATGCTATGACCTTTGTTTCTCACAGTGAGAGAAAAATGGTCTATTGACACATTTGGATTGTCTATATACATGTATCTCTATGAATATATGGACGCAACTAAGGGTTCCTTATATTACGAGATGACAGTCCTTTGGCACCCGGGGGGGGTCAATACATAGAACTTGCCTAATGGGGACGTGCCCCTGAAATGGGTCTCGTTTTTAGGATTTTAGGTATAAGTATCTTATTTCTGGTCAAGATGTGTGTGTTACCTTAGTTACGTACTTACCTTCGTTAATCCATCAAGGGCATGTTTTGAACAAACATAGGCAGATAAGTTTGGTGACGTAGTTTTGCTAAGTATGGACGATATGTTAATGATACGCCCCCAACCTATTGAAATTGAAGCATATATAGTAATCGAGTTATTGGCAATGTGCACTACATGTGGGAATCGAAATTACAGGATAAAGGAGACGATCGATTAAGTCAAGGAAAGAGACTTTATTATACGATATAGACTACACGAATACTATACAGCTACTGCCGAATAAAGCGTGTGTTGAAAGTATACATACAGTGTGGCCGGAAGTTTGGGCTTACGTAACTTGTTACTGAGTACCCAATCAACTAACTCAATAATAATTAACTTAAGTACATAACGTATCTCTTTGTGGTTTCCGCAGTTCGATTGTGGTTCCGACATTACTCCCGGCCCGCAAGTGATTAAATTCGAAGTAAATATAAACAGGAATACTAAACGTAAGTGTAAAAAAAAAAAAAAAAAAACACACTGGGGTAAAGAATCGATCATAAACAAAATACGACATTATCCTAATACAACGATGTGGTAGAGAATCGATCAAAAAACAAAATACGACATTATACTAATACAACGATGTAGCTACAATCATGTCAAGTTCTACGTAAAATATCTTCAAATACTAGCATGTAACTAATTCAACTAAAGATAAATATCCATTTACATAG